GCAGCAGCAGCAGCAACGCTCCTGCTGCTGCTGCCTGCAGCACTTTCTTCAGCCTTTAGAATGGCAGCAATTGCTCGGTATAGAAATAAGCAAATGGAAGGCAGCAGGGCGGGGAAGGACCTGCTGCCGCCATCGCTGCTGCTGCTGCTGCTGCTGCCGCTGCTGCTGCTGCTGCTGCTGCTGCAGTGCCGCGTTACCTCAGCCAGCGCTTCCAAAGGGCCCACTGCTAAGCAGCAGCAATTCATCAACTCGCAGACGAGGGCAGAGAGCTCATCCGCAGGAAGCTGCAGCAAACCTTAAACCCTAAACACTAAACCCTAAACCCTACACCCTAAACCCTAAACCCTAAACCCTAAACCCTGAACCCTCATTTGCGAATTACAGCCGCAGTGTTCCCACTTTCCAGTTCCTGGAGAGAATTCGAATCTCAAAGCCGCAAGTCCTACACCCTCGTGAAAAAGAAACCCTAAACCCTAAACCCTAAACCCTAAACCCTAAACCCTAAGCCCTCACGGTGGCAGCGAGACCGCCGATGCATCTTGCTGCTTTTCTTGCTGTTATAGGTCTGGTGCTGAGGAGCTGCCGGAGGTTTAGAAACAGCTCCTTGTCTGCTGCTGCTACTGCTGCTGTTGCTGCTGCTGCTACTGCTGCTGCATCTTCTGCTGCTGCTTCTTTGCTGCTCAAAATGTCCCCCAAGATGTCCAAACTATCATGGCGGACAAATTCGTTGGAGCTGCGGATTCCCTCGACCAGCCTGCAGCAAACCCTAAACCCTAAACCCTAAACCCTAAACCCTAAACCCTAAACCCTAGACCCTGAACCCCAAACCCTAAACCCTAGACCCTAAACCCTAGACCCCATACCGTAGAGTGCAGGCGCGACACAGGCGCATCTAGGCGGCCGCAAGTGCAGCTACAAACCCTAAACCCTAAACCCTCAACTCAAAACCCTCAAAAGAGGTTTGTGAGGTCGGCGTGGCGATACGCCCATGCTTGCCTCTCGGGGTTTAGAATCTAGGGTTTAGGGTTTAGGGTTTAGGGTTTGGAGTGCGCACGGGGTCATCAGCACGGAGACAACGGGAGACGAAATCGAAGGAGGCAGCTCCAACATCAAGCCTGCAGCACAAACCCTAAACCCTAAGCCCTAAACCCTAAACCCTGAACCCTTGATTATCGCAGTGGTTTACGTCTCGGCCTCTAAACCTCCGTTTGAGGGTTTCGGACGTCTAGGGTTTGCCGCAGAGGCTCAGGCTTTTAGTACCCGGAGGCGTGCCGCTCAGCAGCTAGGGTTTAGGGTTTAGGGCTTAGGGTTTAGGGCTTAGGGTTTAGGGTTTACTGCGAAGGCAAGTGGAGTGAATGTGGCGAAAACTTGAAGAAGAGTCTTTTACTTTATTTCCCAAAAATAAAAAAATGGAATTTAAACATCCTGGAGAGAAACTGCTCAAGAGGCTCCGCAAACACCGAACCTGCGCCAAACCCTAAACCCTAAACCCTAAACCCTAAACCCTAAACCCTACAGCGTGATGCTCTGGGCGTCGCTCTGGAAGTACGCGGCAGAAGGCTTGGGGGACAAACAATCGGCGAGACAGAACCCCAAACCCCAAACCCTAAATCCTAAATCCTAAACCCTAAACCCTAAACCCTAAACCCTAAACACTCACCGCGTTGGCCTGCACGTCTATTGAATTGTCTTCCAGCTGCTGCAAGAAAGCAGTTGCAGCGCGGCCTTCCCAAGCAGCGCCAATACCCTGAACTCCGCAAGCCCTAAACCCTAAACCCTAAACCCTAAACCCCCGCTCTTTGCATTTTGATTGAGCTCTGTGTCTGGGGAGGGCGCCTAAGCCCTAAACCCTAAACCCTAAACCCTAAACCCCCAAAGCAACACTGAATCGCAGACGGTGAGGCCCAGGGACTCTGATATAAACCCTAAACCCTAGAAGACACAACCTGGATGCTAGGTTCGAAACCGTAAAACCCAAACCCTAAACCCTACACCCTAAATCCCAAACCCTAAACCCTAAACCCTAAACCCTAAACACTTGCCTGAGGATTGTTAATCATAGCTTCCGCCAAGTCAGACGCCGCCATGAGTCGTTTGTCCTTAGCAGCACAGACCTCAAACCCTAAACTCTAAACCCTAAACCCTAAACCCTAAACCCTAAGCTCCAAAACCCTAAATGGGGAAGTCTATCAGATACGCACAGTCGCAACAGCGAAGGTGTCTGTTGTGTTTGGTGCTGCTTCTCTTGCTGCTCCTGCTGCTACCCCTGAAGCAGCAGCAAGTCCAGCAGGAGCAATAGCAGCAGCAACAGCTGCAGCAGCGGAAGAAGCAGCAGCAGCAGCAGAACAACAGCAGCAGCAGAACAACAGCAGCAGCAGCAGCATGTCGTACCAGATCAATATCCTCCATCTGCTGCAGCAGATGGGGCACGCTGGAATTCCGCGCCGCCATTGCTGCTGCTCTTGCTGCTGCTGTTGTTGTTGTTGTTGTTGTTGTTGTTGTTGTTGCTCCCTCTACTGCTGCTGCTGCTGGCGA